CGGGACTGTCATCGGCCGCGCTGTTGCTGGGTGGGAGGAAGCTTTCCTTCCTCGCTGGGGCGGTGGACCAGCAGCATCCTCCTGCAAGGTCTGCCTCTTCCTGCCCGGTCATGGACCCCAGTGCAGCCCCTCCCTGCTCCACGGGGCCTGGCAGAAGAGGGCAGGCCTGGGCAGGGTGCCGGCCGGGCTGGCTGAGAGCAGTGCCCGGCAGACCCCGCAGGCGCTCCTCCGGCCCCCACCACCGTGCCCACTGCTCGCCCTATGCCCTGGATCGCGAGTTCTAGAGTGTCACCGCGACAGCCCTCGTCCACCGTCTGCCGCAGCCAGACCTGAGTTCCAAAGGGTGCAGGAGGACGGCCCGGTGCCGGGTAAGAGCTCATCAGCGTCCAGGACACCCACCAGAACCAGACTGCGCTCCACCCTCCCGGCCTCTTGGCAGGAGGAGGCCCGTGGGACTGGCTGGCGGCCACAGTGCCTGTTCAGCGGGACTCTTGCTGTGCTGCTGGAGGAAGCCCCCTCCCTCTCCTGCACACCAGGACCCTACCCCTGAGAACCCAGAATTGCCCGATGAGAGCACACTCCTCAAGGGTGTGGGGCTCAGCGTTCCCCCTGGCGCTGGAAGGGCTCAGGACTCAGCCAGAGACTGAGGGAGCAGCGAGGCATGCACCAGCCGCCCCGGTCTCCATTCTCCCGAGCGGGGACCCATGTGGGGGCAGCTCCAGTCCTGGGGCTCCGGCAAGGAGACGCCTGCCTTGCCTCCTGCCTGCACCAGGAAAGGACTCCCCGAGCCGGCAGGGTACCCTGAGCCCTGGCCGCCTGCTGGCCGGGGGGAAGGGAGCTGGGAGCAGAACGAGCCGCTCAGCTCAGTTCTCAGGCTGACTCAGGCTGGACTCGGGCTCGCTGGCCCGAGTGGCCCTTCTTCACTCCCTCAAAACCCTGGGCCAGGGAGGAGCCGGAGGAGAGGCTGTCGAAGCAGAAACAGACCGGGATAAAGTGGTCACGAGGAGGGGTGCAGTTTGCAGAGGGGAAGCCGACGGGCCTGCAGGACGGGCAGCCACAGGGGGCTCAGGGCTCCAAGGGCTGCGGGAGAAGGGAGAAGAACAGTGGGGAAGGGCTTGCAACGGCTGGGATGTGGACCTGCAGCTGGGCCTGGCAGGCTGAGGGCAGAGCTGTGGGGTGTGTCCCTTGGGGCAGGGACAGGCCTGTCCCGTCCTGTCCCATGACTTTCCTCCAGAAACCTCTGACCCGTTCACCCGTGGACTGGCGAAGAGGGGCCGCGTCTCAGGCACAAAAAATAAATGCCTCTATAGAGTCCGCGGGCGCATCTGTCGAGGACGTGTGACAGGGGCGTGTGTGGTTCCCCTGTCCCCAACCCCATGTTGCCCCCACCCCCGGTGTTCCTGCAGTCCTGGCTGAGGCACTGTGCTGCTCTCTGGAGCCCTTTGGGAGTCCCCTCTGTGGCCGTGGTGAAACCCTCAGATCGGTGATTCTCAGAACGTGCCTGATGGGATGGGGGCAGGGAGTGCACAGAAGGACTGGAAAGGGCTAAAATGTGGGGGCGGCTCGGAGCCGGCCCACGCCACGTACGGCTTGTAAAACTGTGCTTGGGAGGGTGTGACACGTTGAGTTCTGTGGTGCCCTCAAAGGTCACGAAACGGCTGAGATGTGATCAGCACCTCACCCGCACCTTCTGGGCTGGAATTCAAGTGTCCTCCTTGGTGAGCCCAAGGACACCTGGGCCAGGCGCGCTGCTCCAAGGGCACTGGGACATCGCGCTGGTCCTCACTGCCCAACCTCATGCCATGTAGACAATGGGATGAGGCACTGTGGTGGCCACAGTGGCCATGGGCAGGCAGGACAGTGACCTAAGTGGACCCTCAGGTGGGACTCTCTGGGGGCGCTTTGGGCAGATGGGTGATGGTTAGAGCGGCCGCATCCAACGCAGGGAATGTTGAATGAAGGGAGGGAGGTTGCACTCTGAGCCCGTCCCTGGACGTGACCCCTTCCTGAGGCCCTGGCCTGGGGCCCCCCGCTCCCGTGAACAGCCCAGCGCTGTCTTAGAGGACAGTGTGCGGCCTGCTATGCTCACTGTCACTGGGATGCCACTGGATTGGGGATCCTCAGGGACAGAGTGGGGACTCTGCTTCAGAAACGAGCCGAAGGGTGTCGTGTAAGACAATTCTGGGACCACGCCAATCCCCAAAGTAAGGGCAGTAGCAGACTGGAACGCACTGCTGAACTAGGCAGCGAGGGGCGCCGCGGGGCGGGCTACAGGGCGCGGGGAGGCTGTCCGGCCCAGGGACGCGGACTTGCCGGTGCGCAGAGAAGGGTGGTCACGCCACAGGCTGGGAAGCCTCAAAACTCACTGTTCAGGCAAAACTCATCTGTGGGTGGAAGTTTCAGGAGAAACAGGGTGTTCCCATACTCTCAAAGCATCTGCAAAGTACAGTTTCTAACAAAAAATTTTAAAAAATGTTTATTGGTTGAGTAATCTTAATCCCATTGAGAAATGATTTATGGCCTGTGTATCACGCCGGATTCGTGGTCAGTCCCGTGTCGCCATGAGGTAGGTGCCGACAGGCCCATCCTGCAGATGGGCAAGCTGGGGCTTAGAGGGCTGGGGGGTGAGTGGAGCTTGGAGCCAAGAGTGGGTTGTGGCTGGGCCTCCACCTGCGTAGAGGTGAGGGGGGACCTCTGGGCCCTTCATGAGATGGATGGGATATGGGTGGGGTCCCGAAGGACCCCTGAGCAGGGCCGGTTTCGCTGTGTTGGGTAGAGTGTGAAGTCAGCCCAGGGAAGGGCCCCTGGGGACCTGGCACCTTCTAGCAGGCACAGCCCAGGACGGCTTGGGTGTCTGCCTCCAACGATCCGTAAGTGGGTCATTCCGTCCCAGGGGACACGGACGTTGTCTCCTCCATAGCCACTGTGGTGACGTCCGGTGGGGCCCGCGGGACCTGGACGGGCAGACACGGCATCCCCTTCTGTGACCACCTCATACATCCAGCACCGAGACGCTGCCCGCCCCGCGTCCAGCAGGGGGCCCTTGTAGTGCTCAGGGTCAGTCGGGCTTCTCAGGCAGGACGGGGCCTCCCCTCCCGGGTTGGCCTGGTCTCACTCTAAGGACTCAGGGCTCTCTGAGAACTGGACCCCCCGCCCACCTGCCCCAACAGCATCACCTCCATTGGGCCGGTGGGGGATGATCCGGGATACCTGGTGAAATACTCCCGCCTTCGTGGGTCCCCCTGAAAAACAGAGTCACGTCGGGGTCAGTCTCGGCGGTCTCACAGTGACGGGGCTGGAGGGACCGGAGCTCCTGGCTTCTCCCTGTGTGGTCTTCCTTGAGAGAAGGACCCTCCGGGAGAAAAGCCAAACCCATGTGGACAGGGCTCCTTGCTGGACTTGTCCAGTTGGGGGAACAGGACATGGGACAATGTGGGGACACCTCCTGCCCAAGTCTCCAGCTGCCAAACCCTGTCCCTAACTCACTCCAGTGTGATGTCACCCAGGGAAAGGGAGTAAGCACTTCACAGAGGACGGTCGCCCACCCTTCAGGGAGCAGGTGCCCCAGAATTGGGAGAGAAGGAACAAGCGCTGGCCCTTGGCCAGCCCGCTCAGAGCCTGGGGCCCTGAGACATGCCTGCAGCCTGGGGGCCCCGGGGTGAGGACCCAGGACACATTAGCTGACAGTGGCCCGAGATGCTGGCTGACCTTTCCCATTTGGACTCTACTGGGTGCCTGCTCCCTGTTGGGCAAGCACAGGGCTCCCCAAAGGCCAGAACCAGGTCTATAGAGCCAGGGCCTGGCCCGATGTGGAGCCCAGCGCAGGCAGGAAGGAAGGAGTGAAGGTTGTGTAGCTTCTGGGGGGACTCGGCCTTGCCCACGGCAGGGCTGCTGTGGCCCCTCCAACCCAGCCCTGTGCTCCCCCCACGCTCTCCGCCTGCCCTGTGCTTCTCTGTCCCTGAGGGCAGACAGGGCCTTGGAGTTCATAGTGGGGAGTGGGCATGGGGAGTATACGGCAGGGGGTTCCTGGCGCAGGGGGCCCTGTCTGCCTGGCCCTCCGCCCCCAGAGATCCCATGACACCAGGACTCCCACTCAGCGGGAAGCACCCCCAGGCCGGCACAGCCCCCCAAGAGGAGCCAAGGAGTCCCGGAGACGCTCCTGCCGGCCGCCTGTGCCCATCAGAGGGAGAGAGCCAGGAGACGCCCCGACGGGACCCAGCACGCAGCTCACCAGGCGTCCGTCTCCTTCTCATCCTTATCCCGAGGACTAGGAGGCAGAACACCCCTGCGGCTACAAAGACGCTGCCCACCACAGCGGGCAGCAGGGAGGAGCACGTGACGTCTGAGCTGCTGGTCCCAGGCTCCGCTTGTGTCTGCAAAGGGCCGTCGCACCTAGGAGAGAGCAGCGGGGAGAGTGCGAGCTGCTCGGCCGGGGCCTGGCACTCAGAGCCCGGAGGGTCCCCGAGGGAAGGCGGCTGCCCGTGGCGCGCGCTCCGGAGGCTCTGGGTGGGAGCTCCCTGCTATGGGCAGGCGGAGGGAGGGAAGAGGTGGGAAAACAGGGATGCCCAGGGAGAGGGACGGGGACAGGGATGGGGTCAGAGGAGACAGGGCAGAGAGAGCCCAGATCAGGGGGGCACAGAGGGATAACCTGGGAGAGGCAGGATGGTGAGAGGACCCGCCCCTCCCCCCAAAGCAGCCACGTCTGGTCATCCCAGGTTCCCCTCAGGACCCAAGGATGAGCATTTGGGAGTCCTGTCACCTTTCAGGTTCCCTGAGAACCTCGACAGCTCTCCCCTGACTCCAGATTTGCTAGAAGCCCCCACAGCCCTGGCATCTGAAGATACCCCAGAACCACAGGTGCCCCAGAAATCTGGCAGCACCTCCCTCCAGATCTGCCCCAGGACAGAAGGTCCATCCTTGGCCTCCGGGAAGCTCACATCAGCTACCGTGCTGGGGGCGTGAGCCACAGGGTCCAGCAGCTGCTGTCCTGGAGGCCGGCCCATGAAGGGGAGCAGGGGGAGCCCTGGAGTTTCTGCTGGAGGAGGGCCCTTATCTGCCAGGGGAGCGTGGAGGAGCCCCCCCCCCGGGGGACACGGAGCCGAGACCACCCCAGGGTCACCTACGTGCTCCAGGGCTGGCACTCCTCCAGGGTCCCACTGGGTGAGAAGGTCCCAGGAGGGCAGTCTTCACACACCCTGTCCTGCCGCTCCGTGCCTAGGAAACAACAGGGCCAGGCAGAGGGAAGGCGGAGGGCCCCGGCTAGGAGGGAAACTGGGTTCCCCCCCAACACACATGGGCTTGGGTCCAGGGTCTGTCTTTTCGGAGGGTGCCAGGGACCAGGCTGCTCAGGGGCTGAGCAGAGAGGCCAGGGGTCGGGGCACCCAGGGTCTGCGGCTCACCTCTGGCCTGCACCCTCTGGCCAGGTCTGCAGGGCGTGTGGGGACTGCACTCTGCACAGTCGTCCCCATCCTCACTGACGCAGAAGTGGCCCTGGTCACAGACGCACACTGTGTTCTCTGTCTGGGAGCACTTCTGCCTGGTCACCAGGCCCATGGCTGAGACCCAAGAGAAGGAGCTGAGAGCAGCTGCATGGGCTGCCATGGGCAGTGCTGAGCCCCCCATCCCAGGAGGAGACCAAGTAGAGGCCTGGACAGCAGCCACAGGCCTTTGGGCTCCTGTCTGTGGTCTGGGGATGGGTTGGTGACCAGCTCCCTCAGCCCAGCTTTGCAGCCTGCTGTGTGTGTGTCTGGGTCCAGCTGTGCTCCTGCTGGAGGACCCGGCCAGGTGCACGCCCTGCTCAGCCCAAAGCTGGGCCTGCGGGTGCTGGACACAGGGTTGTGTGTCCCAAGGGGCTCTGAGGGACAGGAGCAGCAGCAGCCGGCTGGACAAGGAGGAGCTTCAGGAGGATGGTGAAAGGCTGTCCTCGGGAGGGGAGCCAACCCGACGGGAAAACAGCCTCGTCCCCGCTGGGGAAACGGCCTCGTCCCCGAGGGGCCCACACAGGAAGTGAAAACCACAGTCAGCGGGGGGGCAGTCCCAGAAGGCAGGTCCCAGCCCTAGGCCACCCATGCCTGAAGACCCTGCCCCTCGGGCAGGTCCCATGCTGCAAACAGGCTAGTCAGAGCCAGGTGAGAGCCCCTTCCCCAGCCGGCAGAGGGGCTGGGGTCATGCCGGGCCTGGGCTCAGCCTTGAGCCCCTGCTGAGGGACAGCCTCTCAGCCATCCACACCCCAACCTCTGCCCCATAAGACAGGTGATTCCTTCGGGGCATTGAGGATCTATGGGTGAGCCGGGGGCTCCAAGACCTTACCCCTCCCTTCCCCCGGCTGGACCCAAAAGCACTGAGGCTTCTCCTGGGTCCTGCCTTTCCTCCTGGGGCACCTCCACCCCAGACCACCTGGCAGGAAGAATACAAGGGTCCGAACGCTGAGCCACAAGCAGGGGCCCTCCGGGGTGTGCTGTGGAGGTGTGGACACTGAGGGCAAACAAAGTCCAGTCCCCCAGGACCAGTGGGACGGGCGAGGCAGGACGGGACCCGTGGCTCGGGGGTCCACGTGACGGGTTCAGGGTGACGGGCTCCCCGCGCTCTGGACAGTGCAGCAAACAGGGTGCTGTGACAGTGTTGGCCCCCAGGGAGGCAGGTGTGGACAGAGGCGCACGTCCCTGGAAGGGTTCCCGTGCAGACACCTGTCCTACAGATGAGGTGGGATGCGGCACAGCGGTCCCGGCCCTGTGGGTGCCCACTGCAGCGGGCCGTGGGTCCCCAGTGGGGTGGCGGCTGTGGCCAGGGCTCCTACCTGGGTCACACACTCGGCACTGTAGGCACTCGCTCAGGCCATTGAGGTGGGCCGTGTAGGTCCCCGGGTCACAGGGGGCACACACCGTGCCAGTCAGCTCCCCACAGGCCTCCTTCACCCGGTAACCTGCGCCCAGGGGGAGCTGTGTCACTTGGGCCTGGGGAGGGCCCTGCGGGAGCCACCCCGCCTGCCACCTTGAAGCCCCCAGCATGCGCTGGGACTGAAAGCCACCTGAGCTGTCCCCCACACCACCCTTCGTGTCCTGCTGCCTCTCACCCAAGAGGGCAGAAGGCCGTGGGAACATTCTGGAAGGAGGCGGAGGCCTCCGGGTGTCATGTGGGTATGACTGTGCCCAGTGCCTGCTCTGGCCCCGGCTTCTGGCCGTAAGTGGGCCAGCTGGGCCCCCAGGCCACATCCCTGTACCTTGCAGCTGCGAGGGTCCTGGGAGGGAGAGACTCAGCCCTCCCCGTCTCTACCCTACCCCAGGCTTCAGCTGAGCCCGGGCACTGGGGCTTCGTCCCTCTGGGGCTGCACCCACCTGGGCTGCACTTGGGACAGCATTCAGAGCCCACCGGGTACTCCTCCTCTTTGCACGGGGCCACGGCCAGAGCACAGGGGAGGGACCCCAGGAGCAACAGGTACAGGGCCTGCAGGACACAGGATCCGCGCTGGAGGGGAGGGGCGGCCAGGGCTGCCCGTGGGGCCTGGGGCTCACCCCCGTGAAATGGGGCAGCAGCAGCCCTTGGGGAGCCGCAGGGTCGGAGAAGGACGGTCGGAGGAGTCACCGGCCTGGCAGCGGAGACGGGGGGCTTCGGGCCTGACGGGGCGGGGGCCTCTCTGGGGGACTCTGGTTCCAGGGCTGACTCTGTCGGGCGCACCGGAGGCTTCCTGTGGAGTAACCAACAGCCAGTCCTGCAGCCCGTGCAGCAGGGTCCGGGAGCCGCCCTCTCTGCACAACTAAGGTTTTATCTAATCAAGTGTCGGCCAGGCTGGGGTGGAGGGCGGAGGAGGTTGGCGGGGTTCCCTGACGACCTGCTTCCGGTGAGCAGCCTCCAGGACTGGCCTGAGGGCCTGGAAGGGGGGTGGGGGAAGGGTGTCCACAGAGGACAGGAGCGTTTCAGCGGCTGCTCGGTATGGCTTCCTGCCACTCTACTCCCCCACTCTCGGGGATCAGGGGACGGGTGCCAGGGGCTGGGTCAGCGCAGAGCGACAATGCCCATGTGGGACCAGGAGCAGGTGGGGCCCAGGGCAGGGTCCGCGGAGAGAGCTGGGCACCGCGGGAGTCAGGACAGGGACACCAGGAAGCGCTGGGACGCGGACACACACACACACAGGCTCCAGGACTCACCTGGCTCAGGGCATCAGGCTTCGGTGCCCGGCTGCAGGGGGGCGGCTCCCAGCCTCCAGGAGGCTCCATGTCCCTCTTCAGGACCCCTCATTCCCTGGCTGCTGTCCCAGCACCCCTGCCGGCAGGCCCAGCCCGCATTCAACCCGGAACCTGCCTCGTCTAAATTGAAAGGGAAAGAGAAACTGGGGCCCCACGAGGGAGGCTCGGCTGCTGTGGTCGGTTCAGTCTGTCCCTCCCGGGCTTTGTCGGGGTCAAGCTGCCTATGGCCAGCACCCCACAGGAGCCCACAGGGATGGGAGAAAGGGGGCGCGGGGCCAGCTGTGCAGGAGGCAAGAGGTGACCACAAGGCAGAAGAGCTCGCAAAGGGAGGGCGAGGCCACCAGGCGGGACCACAGAGGCACAGCCGTGGGCACAGTTCCTCCTGCCCCACTCAGTGAGCCCCACTCCGTTCTGGCTGAGGAGTTTCTCCTGGCCTCCCTGTCCCTTAGCGGCCCCCTGACTTTGCTGTAGAGCTGGGGCCCCCCAATTGTGCGTCTGCGTCTCCTCGGCTACCCGGACACCCGGGGAGCCCCCGGCTGCTCCCCTCCAGCACCGGCACCAAGGCCACAAGAGGAGCCCTCCTGCTTTCCTGCCCCCTGTCACAGCGTCTACTGAAGCAGGGTGACCGGCCCCCCAAAGGACCCCGTCTCCCACGCAGTGCCCTCTGTCAGGGATGGGGGGGCTGGTTTCCACCTACACATTCCTGAGCAGAGCTCAGCACGAGGGGTCCCTCCCCGTGGGAGGGGGAGCACCTTCAGTGCTCCCACCCAGGGTGAGAGTGACATTTTGCTTTCCCTGAGCCGCACCTACTGTCCACACCGCACCTGTCCCCAGGATGGGGCTGGGCTGGTTCATTCCTGCTCCCATCTCACAGATGGGCAGGTGGGTCAGTGGGCTCAGAAAGCAACAGGGCAGGGTGCCTGGGTGGCTCAGTGGGTGAAGCCTCTGCCTTCGGCTCGGGTCATGATCTCAGAGTCGTGGGATCGAGCCCCACATCGGGCTCTCTGCTCAGCGGGGAGCCTGCTTCCTCCTCTCTCTCTGCCTGCCTCTCTGCCTGCTTGTGACCTCTCTCTCTCTTTCTGTCAAATAAATAAATAAAACCTTAAATTAAAAAAAAAAAAAAAAAAAGCAACAGGGCCTGGCCCCGGGTCTCTGGAGTGCAGACAGTGCTCAGACCCTAACCCTAATCTCCCCATGCAGCAGGGGCTCTCCCCACCTGGGCTTCCCCATACCACTGCGGCCCCCCGAGGTGGTGACCTTGTGGGCAGCTTAGGGGTGGGGGACCCCCACGTGCCTGGGGCCCCAAGACGCAGGCGGGGGGGCTGGCGAGAGGCAGCGCACCCCTGCTGACGCCTCAGATGGGACGTGTCCTGAGGGGTCTCCCCTGGAGCCCCACGGCTCCCACGTCCCCGCTCAGCGCTGGGGCTCATGCGATGGGCATGAAACCCTCTGACTTCCCTCATCCGTGAGGCTGCAAATCCATGACCTGTGGCGGCTTCCCTCCCAGCAGACCCATCCCGACCCGGCTGTGGGTATCCAGTTCCACGGGCCCCGGGCAGGTCCCCATCAGATCCTGAGGTGGAGCCCTCGCCAGGACCAGGAACCACCCCCTCAGTAGCTGACTGCTGGTGGCCCAGCGCGGACCGACCTTGAGCCCCTTCCTTGTCCTGACCTTGGCACCACGGGCCCGGGGGTCACTACCTAATCCCAGTTCCTGGGGACACTGAGGAGGACAGCCTTCGTGCCAGGGAAGGAAGCAGGCAGGGGTGAAGTCACGGGGGGTGGGGTGGGGGCTGACCGGTCCCCAGGACCAACCCAGCACAGCCTCCGAGGCAGGGCGGGGGCCCGGCGGGACCCAGGCCCTTGGGAGACCCACCAGACCCCACGAGCACAGGCCATGCCCCGACACCCGAGGGCCTGTCAGAGGGAGCCCCCACCCTGGACGGTCACCCCTTGTTGTCACCAGGGACACACAGGACGGCCGCACTCTGCCTTCTCATTTCCACACGGTCACTGGATGTCACTTGACAGATCGCCGGACAGACCACGTCCAAGGGGGGTGTGCGGCCCCGTTCCCGAGTCTGACTTTACAGGGGACGCTGCCCGGCCTGAGATGCGCCCGACTCCCCCCTCGCTCGCCCATCCGGCCGACCAGCACTCACGGGGCAGCTTCGTGTCCCGCGAGCGGCCCGCTGGCCAACGTCCCCTGCGGGTCCTGCTGGGACCCTTCGTGGGGACCCTCCCTCTGCCGGATGGCCGGGGACCAGCGAGGCCGGGGGCAGGGGGTCTGCAGGACCGTCAAGACGTCCGCTCTGGGGGTACTGGCTTGAACTAGTTGAGCAGGGCGACCTTGGAGATGGTCTGGACCTGCCCCTCTTTGCTCCAAGAGGCCAGGGACATGCCTCATGCTCTCGGGGTGCGCGGGCTGTCGCCCAGCAAGCCAAGGGTGACCCCATGCCCGCTGGGAGGGAGGAGTCCCGTGAGCACCTCGGGTCCTTCTGAAACAATGAGCAGCGACCCGGAGCGAGGCGTGCGGGGCGACGCGCTCCTGTGGGACTCTGACCTGGGACTCGGCCTGTGGGTGAGACCCCACCTCTGCAATGGGCGTGCTGAGGCCCACCCACTCGGAGAGCCTGGGACTCTGGGGGTGGCTGCGGGGACCCCAGGGGCAGGGGCTGCGTTCTCCTGCTCACCACTCAGTAAAAGCCCCAGGCCCACTCCCAGGCCTCCAGTCGCCTTGGTAAAGTCGGTCTCCGAGGACGCCCATGGGCCCCCTGCTCGGGTCCGGCCTGGGGCGGCAAACCCGTCTCCTCCTCCCCTGCCTGCAGCCTCCTTGAAGCTCCAGCGCCAGCAGCCCTAGAGAGAGATGCAAGGGACGCGGACAGGAGTCCCTGACCTCACGCTCCTCCTTCAAGGGCTGTCCCTGAAACTGGCTGCCTCCGTTGTGGGGTTCCCGCTCCCCAGGGCTGGCAGCCCCCTCCTCACAGCACCATCCCTGGCCTCTGGGGGCCGCACTCCCCGGCTCTGGAGCCGTGGGCCGCCCCGGATTCTTCCTTCCCCGGTGGTCTCCTTCGTCTCTCTGCTCCTCCTGCCTTAGTACCGGACACGAACGCTGTCCGTGGGAGACGGGGGCTGGACGCCTGCCCTCCGCCGCTCCAGCCGGCCGGCACCTTCCATCCGCAGACCTGCAAGGAGGGCAGCAGCCCCTGTCCTGGGCCCGGATATGGAGGGCGGGGGCTCCCTCTCCCCGCCACAGTGGAGGCATCTGCCCTCTCGGCTCTGCAGCCTGGTCCGGGAGCCGGCAGCTCCCAGGTGTCTCAGAGCACACTAGGGGCCCAAGGCAGGCTGTTGGGGTGCCGGCACTCGCTGTGTCCTGCTGCACCGGTTTAACCTCCCAACCCGGCCATGCTCCTCCTCAAGGAGGCGGCTGAGTGTCCCACTGGCTGGGACTGGCCGACATGCACCTCACAGTCACTCCCTAATTCCATTTGCAAGGGACCCTCCGGAGGAGATCCTGGGCAGCAGGGGACGTGACAGGGCAGGAGCACCTGAGTCATCACTGGGGAGTGAGGCAGGAGGAGGAGGCTGGGGACAGGGCCCTCCCCCTCCACTAGGTGCCCCTTGCTGGCCGTCACCTGCTAGGCCCTCCCTTGCTCACTGCTGAGCCCCAGGAATCAGCATGTCTGAGACTCCCTGGGGTCCCGCACCCCATCTTCCCTGGTGGGTGAAGTGAGCCCCTAGCTTGGGGCCTCTCCTCCCATCGCCCCTTGTGACCTGGGCCCCGGGACGGCCCCCCCGCTCCCAACTCAGCCCGATTTGTGCCCAGACGCCCCCGGGGCTCAAGCTGGGTGTCTCACCCTCAGACTGCGGGGAGGGCCTGGCCGCCTGTCCCACTGCCTCCCTGTGACCCCCGGTCAAGACAGTGCAGGGGAACCCTGGGAATCCCCCAGCCACATTTCCCCTTTCTTCTTGAGGCAGATTTCCCGGGGTCTTGCGGGGTAGGAGAGAGATGGTGAGGGCTTGAGCCGGACCTCAGAGCAGGAGCGGGGCGTCCTGAGACCCGGCCACAGCGGCGCTCCCTCCTCCCCTCTGCATTCAGGCTACCCTCAGTGCCCCCCGGTCTGTGTGAGCTCCGGGCTGGACCCAGTGCGGTTCAGAGGCAAAGCAGCCGGGTCCTCCCCTAAGCATGGAGCCACATCTATGAGCCAGAGATGAGTCACGTGGTGAGCACCTGCTTAGTGAGGGGCAGAGGCTGGGCGGGAGGAAGGGTGCGGCCCTGCGGATGGGGGAAAGGACATCTCTGAGAAAGAAGACAGTTGTGTAACATGGCTGGGAGTGCCTGGGGTCCATTCCTGGTGAGGCGGGAGGCTCGCACAGCACAGGGCTGGCCGGGGCCCCCTCCCACAGGGCCACCATGCAGTCTTCAGGCTCGTGGGGGGCAGACAGAGCGGACAGGAGGCCGATGGGCCAGCTCCCGAGTTGGGCCAGGTGGGAGCCCTGAAAGGCAGGGGACAGGGTGGGGAGGGTGCAGAGGGGAGGGTGGGGAAAGGGGACACCGGAGACGCCCGGAGGCAGAAAGCCTATAGGAGGCAGCTCCAGCGTCTGTGGAGAGGAGGGTGGATGGAGCAGACCCCACAGCATGGCCTCATGCCTGCGACAGTGGGGAAGGATGCAGGGTTAAGGGGTCAGAGCAGGGCCAGAGGGTGTGCAGGGCGCCTGGGGACTTCCCAGACGTTGAGGGGTCGGCTCCTGGGAGCAGAACTGGGGGGACGGTCTGCCCCAAGCTCCAGACTGGGGGTATCCGTTGCTGACCCCCATCCCCCTGCGCCCCTGCGCCCCCCAATGGGAAGACCCTCCCCTCTCACCCAAAACCAGGAGCCTGGAGGTAGCTGCGCCTCCCCCTGCCAGCCGGGCCCTTCCTCACCCGCCCCTCCCCAGGCACCCACACCTTCAGCCCTCTCTCCACTGCCTGGCGGTAGCTGGGGCACCTTTCCAGCAGCAAATCAAGCCATGTCTGCCACTCCCACATTGTCTGGGGCCTCGTGACCACGCGCCTCAGGCTGGGCTGCTTAAACAGCACACATCTGTTTCTCCAGGTTCTGGACACAGGAAGTCCAAGATCACGGGGCCAGCAAGGCCGAGGGCCTTGGCCGAGGCCTCTCTCCTTGGATCGCAGACGCTACCACCGTGCCATGTCCTCCCACAGCCTTCCTCTGCACACACACTGTTGGGGGGGGGGCAGAGCTCACATGTCCCCTCCTCTTTGTTTTGTTTTGAAGCCATCTCCTTGCCCAGCCTGCAGCCCAGGGCAGGTCTTGAACCCAAAACCCAAGATCAAGACCTGAGCTGAGATCGAGTCGCTGTCACGCAGCCCTAATTACCTCCGAGAAGCCCTGTCTCCCGCTGCAGTCACGGTGGGAGTGAGAGCCTGCACACGGGAATCTGAGGACACACAATCCAGGGCAACCTCCACCCAGAATGTGAGCTCCTGAGGGCAAGGAGCTCTGTCCCCTGTCACTGCTGCGTCCCTAGCAGGAGGCACGCAGCCCAGGCCCATGGGGACACGGGAAGCAGAGGAAGCCTCCCATCCGTGCAGAGTGGCCCACGCCATCAGCTGGGTTAATCAGTGACGTCACAGCGTGTCTGCATCGCCAGGAACACAGGCCACACGCTCACTCAGACACAACAAAGTCACTGCCAGGCCACGGAACCACCAGCTGACCCTGGTGGCTTGTCACACACATAGCCTGTGCCTCGCTCCATTCCGCTTCTGACGCAGGCAAGGCATGTTAATACCCGGGGTTCGTGGGACACGCAGGTCTTCAGGGCCAGTGTCCCCAGCAAGGAAACAGGGTGTCGGGACGGCCGAGACAAAACTGGCGGGCGCCACGTAGACGAGACCACGACAGCTTCCTGTCCGGCAGGACTGGCATTCGCGGTAC